CCAGCAGGGTTGAGGAGAGCCGCATCTCTCCTCTCCAGCTGGCCATTACTCCCTTTCCCAAAGGCGGTTGCAGTGGTGGTCAGAAATGACCACCACAAAGAAGAACTCGACCGGAAAAGAATGTGCAGGAGGAAGATAAGAAGAGAAAGTGTTGGTTGACTGGGTCAAACAGCAAAAGCAACAAATAAGGTACCCTGGCATTGAAACTGTTAAAAAACAATAACATTGTTCCCTAAGAAGATTTTTAAGCTGCGAAGGAGAGAGAAAAGGGAAAAGATTTGGTTTTCTCCTTTTCCTATACTGAAAGCTAAGAGACTTAAGCAAGAAATTGGAAAAAATCCACTTTGACATCAATAGGCATTTAATGCTGAAAATAAAAAGTCAAAGGGATAATAAAGATTTCTGGATAATTAAAAGCTTTTGAAAACAGGAAAGGAGAGAAAAAGAATAAAAGGGTAGGATCTGGAAGGGAGGAGACTGCCTGAAATTAAAAAAGAACTTATAGCAAAATCTCAACAAGACTTCCAAAAGATACATTCTAACTGAAATATCGCAACAAAAAACCCAGGAAGAGAAAGTCGAAAAAGAAATAAGTAGATATAACTCGGGACTATCTGGATTACTTGATGATTTCTGGATTCTTGGTTATTGTTTTGAATGACTAAAATCAATCGGGTGGTTGTTTAAAACTGTTTAAAATGGCTCCACTTTTAGAAGAACTGAAAATGGAACTTAAAAAGTACAAAGAAGATGCACAAGAGGGAGAGGTTCTTTTGGCTTCGTATTTCAGTTTTTAGAAATGGAGATTTGGAATTATGAGAAACAACAAGAAATGCCTGCAGAACAAGAAGATTGCAATAAAGAAGAAGCCATCTTTAATGAACAAGTAATCTTAGGTGGGGGAAAAAAAGGAAAGGGGGGAAAGAGAATGGAAAGTTTAAGATTGGGAAAAACAACTCCAAAAAAAATAGAGTGAAAAATAAGTATAAAATCAGAAAGCAACAGAAGAGGGAAATGCAGAAGAGAGAATTAGTACTAGAGAGACAAGGGGGTAAAAAGGGGAAGGAGAAGATGAGAGGGAAGAAAGAAAGGAAAAGAAGTTATAAAGGACAGAAGCAAAATTTAGAGAAACAGGGCCTATTTAGAGATAATGGGTGAAAATTTAATGGAAAAAGGGATTCTGCAAAGGTACATAAGATAGTATGGTTATATTAGAAGCAGAAATAATTTTAGAAAATATGAAACAATGTATGATTAAAATGTCTGATAAAATAGCTATCGTAATTCAGTGGAATGCTTGTCAATAAATAAATGTAACAAAAGGTATATTTAATGATTTATAAAACATATGTGAAGAGAAATAAGGGAAAAATTAATTATGGAGATTATATGTGTTTTTAAGGAAGTATGATATTTAATTGAAAAGAAGTGTTAAAGATGTTAAGATTTTAATGATTATTAATGATAGAACTGAACTGGAATGGAATGAGGGTTTATAATTACATATATTTACAATCTTTCTTTTTTTAATATATATATATATATATATATATATATATATATATATATATATATATATATATAGTGTGTATTATAAGAATGTGCCAAGCAGAATTCAATTGGAAGTTATGTATTGTATTGAAGGTCATAAACTTAAGGTATATATTGAAGTTTAAATAAGAGTTGAATGGATGTAATTAAAAGATATAAAGGTGTCATACTCCAATTAGTAACTACAGGAGAAAATTTGTTTAATGAGAAAAGATAATATAAAATTGAAACAGAACAGACAAAAGTATAAATATAATGATTTGAATTGAGATGAGATAATCAAAATAAAATTGAGAAAATTAAAAGAGAGGAAAAACTATATAGAAAATGTAAAATAGTATAAGATATGGAATAGAATACAAAAAGGAGCATGAAATTGAGTTTTGTGTCTGTATAAAGAAATTCAACCCGGGACCATGCTATTTTCAAAAAAGATGTTTTACTTGTATTTTGTGTGTGAAAACCCAAATAAAACTTTATTTAAAAAAAAAGGAATTGTAGTAGACAGAATATCCTTTAATTTATGGCACCAAAAAGACACTGCCTATAATAGATAATACCAGATTTTCCATCTGAAGTGAACTAGAATGCTTCTTTGTCTCAAATTTGAATTTCTAAGGGTTTGTCTACATAATATTTTTGCTATGGCACCAAGATGGCAGGTTTATGATTTGCTAAATGATTGTTCTCATAACAGAACTTCTATCTCAGTGCTAGCCTGTTCCAGCAGATTGAAGCCAGATCAAGGTGATCAAATATTCTATGGAAATATTCTAGAACAATGGCACAATCAACCAGATAGACTGGATTTGGCATATTTATCCACCTATCAAATCCTTTCCAAGGATCCGGGATAAGCAGATGTTATTTTTGATGGTGTTAAAAATATAACAGGATATAAGTTGTTCCAAGTAAACCCTTAACTAGTGATGATTTTCCCAGAGATGCTTTTTGAAAAGGCAACTGGACTTTATGTTTCTTGAAAATGTTTAGCTTCTCATCCAAGAAACTTCTTCAGTTCAGAACTGAAGAAGCTTCTTGGATGAAGAGCGAAACATCTTCAGAGAAAAAGAAGTCCAGTTACCTTTTAAAAAAGCACCTCTGGGATAACCCTGACTTGGGTGACTGAGAATCTTGATAGACTTTTGGTAATGATTTTGTCAATGCCTGTGATGTTCAAGTAGTGTTCTAATACTAGTAGTGTTATTTTGGATTGCACTCAAGGTGCAATAGTATTATTGATACTATGTTTACCACAGTTCTGTTTCCATTATTGTAGTTGTTATTAGTGTTAGAGTTTTGTAAGACTCTAAGGTACCATTTCTCCTTTGAATGATGTCGAAACCAAAATATCTCTGTAATTATTTCTTTTCGTTAGGATCAATGGGATATCCGCCTTCTGGAATATGTTTCACTAGTCCAGTGATGGCTTTCCATCCTCGCGTGCCAAAAGTGCATGTGTGACAACACCCAGAAGGCAATGCATGTGCCCCCATGTCCCCTGCATATGCGCACATGACCCCCTGCATGCACACCATGCATCTCTGTGCATGCCCGTGTGACCACCCTGTGACCACCCTGTACCTTTCTGCACATGCGTTTCCCGCATGCCCCATCCCCGCATATGTGTTGCAGCTACCTGACAATCAGCTGGAGTGCGTGTGGCATGGGTGCATGTGCAGTGGACCTGCTCCGGGGCAACGGCTCGCATGCCAGCGAAAATGGCTTTGCATGCCACTTCCAGCCCATGTGCCATAGGTTAACCATCACGGCACTAGTCAGTATTCCTACTGATAAGTCCTGTAAAGTCTATTACTTCTTCTCATCACAATTATCTTTTCACTAATAATCTTCTTTACCATCCCTTCTCTTCTCTCATAGCTACCAACAAGTTTAAGTGCTTTAGGTCACTTCTGAGCAAAAATAGAAAGATTAATACAAACTAGACAGCCAGTTTGGTATAAATGATTTAAGACAGCAGGTAAGCCAGGAGTTCTAGCCCAGCCTTATACACAAAGCCATAAGGGTGACTATGGATCAGTTATTCTCTCTCAGTACTAAGAAGGAGGTAATGGCAATAAAACTGCAGGGGTTAGTCAAAGCAGTTGCCAAGAGTCAATACTGAGTCAAACGCACCCCGTCCCTCCCCAAACCTCGCAAATTTTGCCTCAAATGATGGCACTTCAATACTTTTTTTTTTTCCCCATTAGATTCCTGTATTAGATTTTATATTATTCTGGGGACATATCTACACTTCATTAAATGCTTCTTTCTCCTCGTTACGTTACTATCCACTCATTCATAATACTTACACTTGACAATTTTGTTATTGAGTGGCTACATACTTGATGCTACAAAAATAAAATAAAAAAAGGTGTTGTGACTTTAGCCTGAGAAAAAGACAAGCAGACCAAGTCTATTTCCCAGGCAAATAGGGATGCTATAGAGAGGCCAGATCCAAAGGATGCATATGCGGTAAAAAAAAAATTGCTTCTGGCTCCTTCCTGTCTACTCAGTTAACAATAGGTGCAAAGTCCTCCATGAGGCAACATTATTCAGTCTGGCCACATGAGGACTACAGGGAAGAGCTTTCATTTTTCTTTAACTTCTGTAGTTTCCTCTTCCTTCTGCTCTCTCCTAGCTATTGGAACCAGTCAGAGAGAGCCATGAAATTACTGATTCTCTATTTTTTAAAAAGTAGGATCAAGTGAAAAACAATTATCATGAAATTGCTAAATCTGTTTAAAACGGAAACATTTCCTCATTTCCACCCCAATATAGACATCTTTCCCACCCCATTTCTATCTACAAGAGCCTGAAAACTGACTGGTACAGAATACCTTCTTCAACTTTTATTTCTGGTTTTAGTGTCATCTACTGGGCTTGCACATATGACTGCAGTTTTTGCTACCTTGTCTTTTTATTTGAACTGATTACTTTTTATTATTTTTGAATAACTGAAGTGTAACTATTTGCTGAGACTTTTTCTTTAAAAACTAGCCACTTGTATTTGTTGCTGTTTTCAGACAAGAAGAAAAATATGCCACAACATTGCAGTTCACAAGTGTAAACTCCTGTCTCTTTAGGGATTTTTACTTTTTAGGGAACTCCCAGTGCAAAGGTTTGGCTCCTCCTTAATCCCTTCTCAGTTTAGCTAAATATAAACTCTTGAGTAAGAGAAAAATTTGATAGGAAGTCCCTAGCCAAATGCCTGTTAATTCACTCATCAATAAACTGTAATAATATCCCCTGCTTGAAACCCATTACCACTGATGAATACTATACATTTATATATAAATATATTTTTCCCTGAAAAAAGTTCTCTTCTAATTCTTTTATTTTATTTCAGAAAAAATACTAAAAGTGTGTAAAGTCCTTATCTATCTATCTATCTATCTATCTATCTATCTATCTATCATCAAATATATTGTTATTTGTTTTTAAACCAGGTGCCTTTGAGAGATGAGATGACTCAGTGTAAAAGGAGATGTGTCATTCTGCGTAGTCCTCTTGGAAAAATTGAGATATTTGGATGTGAAACAGGAATACATGAGGTACGCCTTGAGGGAAAAGCTGAAACACAAAATGGGTAAGCCTGAATCTAATTCATTATTTTTTACATATAAATATGCATGTTAAAAATCAAGATCTTTGCTACAACTCAATGAGAAATGTTGGTTTCGTTTCTTGCAAGAACTTTCCAATTTAGGTAACATTTTTACATTTCCTTTTTTTAAAAACAATTATCTATATCAGATGGCCTGAAAATAAGAGACTAAAACTTTTTTTAAAAAAATTAGCTACTAACTGCTGAAAGGGCTGATACAATTTGTACTTTATCTTTAGTATTTCTCAAATGATTGAAGAGATTTTCTGCTGATTACTGATGGAAGCATTTTTAATATGGCTTTAACATGAGGTCGGGGAGAAGTGTGCTAATGTCTCACAAGGAATCCTGAGAAAATGAAAATTGATTCCAAAAAGAGCAGAAATCTCTTTATTGCCAACATGAATACAATTTTTAATTTTTTCCTAGTTTATGTATAACATAAAAATAGCAAATATGCATATTCTACAAACTCAATTTAATTTTATATTCTTCTTTTAATAGCCTTTGATACAATATAAATATTATGAATGAACAAGTCTGTCTGAGGTACTTTCCAGTTTTTTAAAGATTCAGTTTTATTTGGAAGTGTACTTACACTGAAATAGATACAATTTTCAGCAAACATTTTATAGGCTTTAATGCAGTTCATATTGTACAATACTGAAATTAATCTTAAAACCAAGGGATACTTTTAAAAGCATTATTTCACATCATAATTTTTAAACATCCATATTTAAAACAATAACATCTTGGTTGTGTTAAAAATGGTGTGCTCCTTTGTCCTGATAAATCACTTTTCATTTCAGCAATTCAGTAGCAGAGCAGGATCTACTGTGTATGTGATGCGTTTTAATGACCAAGGGATTATAAGTCTTGCAATGCCTGCTCCTGATGGAATCCATGTTATTACTTTTAAATCTTCTTATCCTGTGCCATCTTCCAGAAAGTCATCTTACCCTCCCTAGCTGTTAAGAGTAGATGAAGCATTTAGAAAGCTCTCACTCCAAGTCTCCTTGTTTGTGGCACAAGGGAATCTTCAGCACTCGTGAATGAACATCAGCTAAACCTTCCACAAGTGGAGCAAACATTGATTTTTCTCTGCAGATGTCTTTATGCACAAAATGAAAGAGGAGGGAACAGTTAGCATGAGTTGCCTCATTGAGGTCACTGGAAAACTTTGTGAATTTTTCATTCACTAAACAAAATGGATTTTCTTTCTGCAATTCACAATTAATAACACAGAGACAGTGTATTGAAATCTTAAAAACATTCTAAAACTAAGCTCACTTATGAATTTCCACTTGATGCAAATATACAGAAACAAGAAAAAATGAAAGAAATAAAGACTTAACTGAATGTGACCTAGAGACATTAAATCTTTGCAAAATGAATAAAAAACTTGAGGTGGGATGAAATTGCAAACAACAGGTAAGCGTGAAGTTGACTTTACAAATTTGGATTCATACTTTGCCCAGAATTATCCATCCCCCATCTCTAGGCCTTTTTGCAGAATAGTTTAGTAACCATCTTGCAGGCCAATTTAGCTAACTGTAATAAGATTATATGAGATTTAAGATATTATATATGTCATCCAGAAACATTGACAACCAAATTATATAATGCCAACTGATGAGTATTACTATTCCAAACTGATATCATAAAATATTTGTACACAAATATCTTGTCACTTGGGGGAGGGGTTGTTTTTTTTTAATCTTCATATTGTGATAAATAATACTTTGTAAAACTTTGACAGAGTGATTTCTTTCAGTGATGGTTTTATTAATTCAAACTATTGAGTAACACTATAGTTTATTAATCAAGTGTGACCACATTGCTGGTTATTCCTTAATCTTGCACAAATGCCTTAAAAATGATGCAGACAGTTGACATGGATTAACCCCACCTTGACATTTCATAAGTTGGATTGCCACATCTCATGTTTGCTGTAATCGTAAGGTGAAAAACTAAACACCTTTTTAATTAGTAGATCCCTAGATTTCCTTCTTATGTCTTAATGGAAAGATATATCTACATCTATATTGTAGCAGAAACATAGTTGTTCCAACACATCATTTTCCTAGGCTATCAGGTTGTATGGATTCTGCGGACAATATTAATCTATGACATTTGGTCTACCTTATTTTTGTCTCATTATACTGTATATGTGAAATAAAAAAGCGTAGCTCAAATAGGTTAATTAGTGGGAAATGGGAAAAATATACAGCAGTGCTATACAATTTTTGATGGATTTTCTTTTACTAAATGGATTAGGTTCAAATGCAGCTTTTGAGGGGTAGATAGGTTGACACTGGCCTTCTTACATATCTCAAAATGGAATTGTATATCTAAAGCATGTGTTGTAGAGAAATATTGCTTCCCCTGCCAGAAATATCTAGACATCAATCTCTATTTCTGCAGATTCAATGGATATGGCAGGAAGAGTTATTATATACTATGATCCTCCTTTTATTAAAAATAAACTGGGCTAGTTTTTCTCCTGATGGTTTTTCAGATTATAACTATGGAATTGTTTATACTTACACGGTTCTTAGATTATAATGGTGGAGAAAAAAACAAGTTTAATGATAGGGCTTTATTTTTTAACTCATCATAATTCCAAAAATAAAAAAAGATTTCCAGGTAATACTAAGGCATCCATTACAAAATTACTTGCATCTTTAAATATGTATATATGAAATACAATATTATATATGAATATTAATATACATACATACACACACAGACACACATACATACATATACACATACACATGTACAGATCTCTTTCCAGAGTAATCTGTCATAACTCTTAAGAAATATAGACTCTTTTGGAAAAGAAAATAAGAAAGAAAAGTAGAACTGTGCTGTAAAAGTTTTACAGTCAAGTTCTCATAAGCCATAAATAAGTTGTTACTAAATCTTTCTATTCTGCTATCAGTGTATACTTCAGGTTTTTTTTTAAGGATATTGCAATACAATGAAGTTCCTTAGTTCCAATGCTTTTCTTCATTTAACACCAAATAATCTAGGCCAGTACAGTTGTTCTACATACTCAGGAATTTTCTTCCCTATTCATTAGAAAGAACTTGGAGAACCTTTAGTAAAATTCACTAGTTTTGCCAATGTGGAGCCTTCGTGTGGCTAATGACAATGTGTCAGGGTTTTATGGTCACGTTCTGTAATGATCTCTGAAGCATATTACCTTTGATGATATTTTTCTTCATAGAGTACTTCTTCCATTCATGATCTCTAGCAGAATTTAAAAGAAAAACTCAGCTTTGTCAGAATTTTTCTAAAATCATCATAGCTTTATCTTAACTGAATATTGCTATCATCTGTAAAGATATCACCATTGAAGTTTTTGCCTGCAAGGGTGGGAAAAAAACTCCCTGCTTGCTCTTCCCAGGCAAAATGATTGCAAAAGACATATCTCAAGGCTTTCTTTATTTATTTATTTATTTATTTATTTATTTATTTATTTATTTATTTATTTATTTATTTATTTATTTATTTATTTATTTAATGTTGCCACCTATTTGCCCATGGTGACTCAAGGTGGTTACAGAATGTAAAATCATATTTTTAAAAAATACAATAAAGCTAACAAAAAGAATCAAATAAATTAATAAAGTACAATAGAACAAAATCTGGAAAAAAATTAAAAAATCACCCCCAACTCCCACCCCCCGCCCGACAACAGCAGATCACACAAGCCATTTGATGGGCTCCATCCCACTATGGGTTCCCCAGGCCCGCTGGCAGAACCAGGTCTTCAGTGCCTTCCGGAAGAATATTAGAGAGGGGACCATTCTAATTTCTGGGGCAATGATATTTCAGAGAGAGGGAGCCACCACGGAGGAGGCCCTTCTTCTGGGTTCCACCAGAAGGGATGGGACTCACAGCATTCCCTGCCTCCCCACTCTAATGGGTTGGGTAGATGTGACCAGCAAGAGACTTATAAGGCTATCAGGATCAGAAAGTTTGTAGTAGATGGCCAAAATAGAAAAGGCTATTCCATCAGATGGCACTCTGTAATGGACAAGGCCTGAGGTATGTGGTTGAGCTCAGTGGTGGGATTCAGATTTTTTTATGACTGGTTCTGTGGGCATGGCTTGGTAGGCATGGCCGGGGAAGGATACTGTAAAATCCCCATTCCCTCCCCACTCCTGGGGGGAGGTTATTGCAAAATCCCATTCCCTCCCCATCCCACCAACCTGTTTTCCATCTCTGTTCTCCTGTGCAGGGCAACAAAAGAAGATCCAGCTGATCAGCTGGGACTCAGGAGGCAGAGAATAGATGGTGGTGGGGCTAGTCAGAGGTGAACTACTCAAAATTTTCACTACCGGTTCTCCAGGACTAGTCAGAACCTGCTGAATACCACCTCTGGTTGAGCCCATTTCCTGGTTTTGTTAATTTTTGGTTTTGGTTGGTTTTTCTCGGCTAATAAATACTGTATATCACTCAGAATTTTGTTATGTACTTTTATATTAAATATTGTTAGTGGCCCAGAATCATGTTTTGGTTGTGAGCCTCTATATAAATTGAATGAATTAATGAATAAATCCAATGTTTATTATACTTGTGCCCAAGAAAACATAGTTGAACCTGGAAATGAGTCTGGTAGCAGAGATAAAGCAGAGATGTCAGATACTCCAAATGATAAGCACCCATAATTGTCCCCCCTGCTCCATTTTGTACATAGATGAAACTTCTAAATACTCTTTAAGGTCAGCCTCATGCTTCATTAGTCCAGCAATGTTGAATCACTAAAGGTGAGATTAATCCTAGAGAAGAAATGATGAAATTTTTTAGTAAAACTATCAAGAATAAAGAACTTCTTTCACAGCAAAGTTCAGGATTCTTTTTCCCATGGTAATTTGTAAAAGCTGGACTTTGAGAAAGAGTGAGAAAAATAAGATAGATGCTTTTGAAATATGGATTTAATCAATCATGGACAAATTAAAGATTGAATATTC